CGACAAGGGATTCATTCTTGATAACTTTGGCAAGATCTATCCAGCAAAGATTTCTCACCCAATATTACGTTTTGGCACCACAGAGGTCCGGTTATTAATGGACGATGAACATAATTATTTTTTCCTGACTCGGCGGTACTAGCTTTCATGGATCCGGCGGTCCGATCTGGTGGCGTGGTCGACAACGCGGTATATGCATTGTGAGAGTTGTAGAAGCTAAGTTGTAGGGCTGGACATGCTTACCCTTTTTGGCAAACACCTGGCTTCATAACTGATTTTCAGTGATCAGTTTATATAATTTTCATCACTATTTTGACATTTTCGCCCTATAGAATCCGTTTCGGCAATCTGTTGAGGAATCCAGGTGAGTAAACATTCCATATAAATGTCTCGGGAAGGGGGGGGGGAAGGGTGGGGGAGAAGAGTGAGAGAGAGAGAGACATGTAACTAACACAATTCATACAGTTATACCTATTTCCGGCAACAAAGAAAATTTCTTCTTAGGAAGGAAGTGTGAATTAATTTCTGTCACGGACTTGATTTTTCCTTTATCAGATTGAAATGCTGCAGCGAATTGCATGTGTTGGTCGCTTAAATACCAGTGTGTGGAATGAACTTTCTCCTCATGGTTCCTCTCTGGCATCGTTGGCTTAATTAACATTGAATATTGGCATAAAACTTTGTAGATGTCACAGTTATTTCACTTATATAGGTTGTCAGCGCCAACAAGACATCAGTACCGATAGCTGTGGAGTCACAGAATTCATACTGCCTTGAGATATCACCATCTGATTAGAAGTCGTCCAACCCTCTTGTGAAAGGGCACACAATGTACAACAAAGCTTAGCTAACCCGCTACATGATGGAGGACAGTATTGTCTGTTATGGCCCCACAAGGCCATACACGCAACAAGAGCTGTATCCTACATACGAGATCAGTTTCACCTTGTTTTCTATTTCCCAAAGTTGTTTGTGCAGGTGAAACCCCTCGTCCATACAAGTCAGGAGAGCGAGTTTCTGTGTTCCTAAAGAATCAGTTAACATCCTTTCCCGTTTTGTTAGAAACTTCCCTGTTTTATAGAAAGGGGGACTGAGGTAGTCTGTTAAGGGTGTTAATGAACGAATCTTTCATCTGTTTACTTCGGCAAATACCAATTGTTTATCTTTGTTATGAAGTACCGGGCTGTCTCGGGGGGATTAGCTCTTGGTGTGTGTGTGTGTGTGTGTGTGTGTGTGTGTGTGTGTGTGTGTGTGTGTGTGTGTGTGTGTGTGTGTGTGTGTGTGTGTGTGTGTGTGTGTGTGTGTGTGTGTGTGTGTGCGTGTGTGTGTGCGTGCGTGACTGCTTGCTTGTGTGCGTGCGCGCGTATGTGTGTGTGCGTGGGAGTGAGGGGTGAAGGACAACATCGGCATCACTAGAACATTTTATATACAACATATAAACAGTAAACCAAAATACACATAAACGCGGAGGCCTACATGGCGCGGCGGACTTCCTGAATATCTACCTGAATATCTACCCGAATATCTACCTGAATTAGAACATTTTATACAGTCACACAAACGTAAATATATATACGCGTTTTACAATATAAAATCACAAACAAAAATGAAGAGAGTCCCTACTGACATACGTATTATACAGTAATGAGGACATGCGGGTATTTTACAGATTACAGTTGACATTACTTACAGTATGCAGTACTATGAGTAAATTCGTGTCACACTGTGATAGTATGCAACGCTGTTTCTTTCTTTGAAAGGGCAGTTCAGATGGTTCCCCTAGGGTTGTCATTGGCGCCGTTCCCTGAAGTTCTGTTTCAGGTGGCAAGATCTTCATCCCTGACATATTCCTCTCCCGCAACAGCACGGTAACAGAAGGTCCGGGTTCGATCCCCGGTCGCGTCATACCAAAACACACACACACACGCACGCACGCACGCACGCACGCACACACACACACGCATGCACGTCGTTGTATATTGTAATAATCGCGTCGCTACGTAGTGCAATTATCTTAAACCCAATTTCACAACGTCAGGCAACATTGCTGTCTGGTGAAATGTGAAAACTCCGGAAATAATCAACATATGACGCACAATTTTATTCAGTAGAAAGTCATTCGGCTGATTATGGGTTTCACCTGTCGTTAGAGTTTCAAAACAAATACACGTTAAGAAACCCCAAATGTATCGTTTATTTGCGGGGGCACGGGTGTCCCTGTCGTCAAAGCCACCACAATTTGCTGTGCAGACTTGCGTCCCTTGGGTATGCCAGAAGCCTATGCTTGTGGGTTTTTCAGCACCATAACCGTGCGCGTGGGTTTCACCAAAGTGGTCAACTCAAAACATTTTTTCATCACTTTGACCTACATGACTTTGGGCCGTGATATAACTGGAATATTGTTCCAAGCAGCGCTCCGCCCAACTCTCCCACGTACCCGTTTATATGTTCACATATTTAACTGGAAAATGACTGAATAAACACTATTTCAAACATCATGTACAGATAACTGTTGAAGTAATTGTTTGTTTCTCTGCTGGGTCTTCTCGAAGTTTATTGATTACCATAAAAAATATCCAAAGAGATAGTTGTTACACAATATAAACTGCTAATAACTTCCGCGGCGTGCTTAGGGAAATCTACCAACACATTCTATTTTAAAAAATCGTATTCCCATGTCCCCCATGGCCTGTAATTATGGTCTTGATTTTGTACGGTGAACACTGAGGCAGTTTTTATGATGGGTGTTTGTGAGGATTATTCTGGAAAGGCGGGAAGCTTAATCAATCCTGTGGAAATCATGATTTGAATATACCGTTAAGGAGGAAAACCCAATGAGTTTTAATTCAGGGGGTTCGGACTTAGATTAATTTTATACCTCTAAAGCTCTTTCGAAAACGAATGCGTCACCTGAGGTTTCGTAATTTGAAAGAAAATATTTAAAAGTGGGTTGGATTCAATCCGCGCAATTTTCCTTACTTATGTTCAAACAATAATTTTCACCACAACAATACAATAATTGAGCGCTGGCACACGGACCCCAAATGACGCGACCCTTAATGTTTTGTTCTCAAGTAAACGCTGCTATGCTGATCTCATAATACGCAACAGACAGAAAGCAGAAGCAATGCCCAACAGAAAACATGACGACAGGGTATGCCACAGAGAAGGAGTGCCAAAACGTCCCTGCTATGTTGTTTGCATTGCTGTCTATTGTCTGACGGTATTTAAACCTCTTCTGTTGAGTGAAACTAGTATTTAATATAGACTTGTAGTATTTAAAAACATTTTTTTCAAGATCTTCGCAGTGACATGCTCACTAAAAAATGATGGTAGTGTACCGCTGGTGGACCAATCAGAATGCAGATTCTAAATATATTGTTAGAACGGCACAATACCGATAAGCACCTAAACGAATTTCAGTGTATGCTTCTCTTGGTAGGGCTGCTCTTGGCATTTTTCTATATCCTATGTACCTCAAATGTTTAATTGGGAGTACACCTATTTGGGGGCATTCGTCTTTGTTTAATGTCATGTCGATCATGGAATAGTATAATCATTTTAATGGAAGAGAGAAAAAATTCTCCTCCTGTAGTAGTAGTATTGGGGTATATATCTGGCCCCATCGTGGGTGTACCCGCTTCAGGGTATATCCCCCCCCCCCCTTACCTATACTACTCTCCTTTATGGAAATAAACTACATGTACTTGCCAAAAGAAGCCATTCCTCGATATTTGATGGTGACTAAAATGAAGCAACAAGAAATTAATATTAAATAGTTATGTATTTGATAAGGGTATCATAATTGTGCTTTAGAACATAAGTGTACATTGTTTTCAGCCGAGTAACGTTTTGGTTACGTTTGTAATTTTATGGTCAACTTCATTTTTCAAGTGTATACTTTCTTTTGCCCGTCACTTTAGTAAGAACTACGTGTAGTCAGTTTTCCGCTGCGTTACGAGAACAATGCATTCCTCTTCCTATGAAGGCAAACCTTACGTCTGGACTACAAAGAGGGTAATTACTGCTTAAGATTAACTCCTATGATTTTAAAGTAAACCAGTTTCAGATTGCATGTGTAGGGGTATTACGAGACATTCTTTGTGCGTCCACGTTTGTTCTATCTCATTATTAATATTCTCAGATTTTCAATGTTGGTCGAACAGTGACTTCTTATTTTTGTGATGTAGAAGTAGTAAGTATTTCATAATTGCACAACATATGAGCTTTCGAGCTACATCAAATTGCATAGACCCGTCAAAGAATATACTTATCTATGTCGTTTATTACTTGTTTCATCTACAAAATGTCCACTCTTTCATAATGCTAAGACGGATCAGTATCATGAGTATCACAAACAAGTTCCCTCAAGTTCGTTAAAGGGTAATTCACTTCTCATTTTACGGAGTAACACCTTGTTCAAAATCGGTACTGGTCTACGTCGTTCGCATAATGAAGTGACTGTTCCATGGAAGGTTTGAAACATCGTCATTTTCTGTATGTTAAAGGTATGTGTGATATTTGTTACAGTCTCATTACTTCATCATAACATCTGATACAATTTACATTGGTTATTTGGCTAGAAATATGTGTCTCCGGCAGTTTAAAGTGTTAATGGTACATACATATTCCATCACTGAATCACTGCACGTGTTCACGTGCATCAAGGCTGTCCGTCACGGTAAGGTTCGGGGCTCATTACCGATGGTAACACACCATGGGATCTCGTATTGTTTTAGGAGCTTCCTCAAGACACTTAAGACACTATTTCAGTTATTTACTTCCTGTCATTAATGGGTAAGTGAGTTTGGTCGACACTGAATTGAATGATGTAACAAATCTTTGCCAGGATAGATTAGCCGAGTTGATCAACGTTAGTGCTTCACAGGATTGACTGCTGGTTGCATCAGTGGGCTTCTTCCATAGGTTTATTGATTGAGGCACATCAACACGTTATGATCAATCAACGACCTATGTTTCCGTTACACCATAATCCTGTATTAACGTCGATTTCCCAGTCGTCGAAGGCCCTCATTGTAAATTTATAGCCATTATGGTCGGACAGAGATATTGGAGAAGGGCGGGATTTTACGCAAAGTAATTCATTCTGTTTGCGATGCATTTTGTCCTGTGAAGAAGAGCAGCACAACGTCTCAGTACCCATTTGAAAAAGGATTTAATAGGATTACGCCTTCACCCTTGGATGCATCAGCTACTATTTCGGTGGATTTAGTGGGCACGCGAAAGCGGAATTTAAGCTCTCAGTCACGTTACTTCCGTAACCAAGGGCCTCTGCAGGATATTGCTTTAACTTAATGAAAGACTCAAATATTTACACTTGTGGAACGTTTTAACTATACAGTCGAAAACATCACTGTTTACCGTCCTCAACAAGCACAGGAGTTCTCTCTGGTGCCTGGAGTAAGGAGCTCGTCAGGTGAGTAAACGCTGTGAGGTCGCGAACGTTTCTGTTTACCTGTGATGTGTTCCAATGAAAGACACCGTATAACAAGGGTGGGGAAGGATACGCGCGTGCGATTGATTTACAAGGAACTGACTACAGGCATCTACTTGGATACTGTCCATCCGATGTCAGAGGAGATGAACATTTTAGATTCAATCACTCATGCCAGTTACAGTAATATCACCTGACATTAAGACAAATTACCAAAAGGGGCTGAACAGATCCACGTTTCGTAATTATTGCATTCCATTTGCCTCAGAGATTCTCATTATAATCGTTTCCCTTTATATCCACTGAAGTTCTCTCACAAAATCAAGAGATCCTTTTAGCCATGCCGATCTAAGTGGCATGCTATATTCTTTAGAAGGTGACACGTTATGTTCGGTTATCTTCCTGAAACGTGGGGCTTGGGCTGGCAGGGGGCTGGTTGCAGTATAATTATGCAAGTATGCTTCAGTATTGCCTGGGCTAGATGGAAGGTCCATGCGCCCGTTATTAATAAAAAATATTGACATGCAACTTGAAACATTCTTGAAGAATTCATCAAAATGACTTGCAAACATTGTGAAGCATTCGTCATACTAACATGTAACCATCTTGAAACATTCATTATATTGACATGTAACCATCTTAATATTAAAGCGATAAAGCCCTCTCAATAATCATAAGAAATATCTGCTAAAAGTAGAGTACATAGTACGATTCCGACTATGTCGCGAAAAGGCGTAATCTGATCCACAGCTGGCAACCGTCACACACACATGCAAAGGTAGGTTGATTGTTCACCTGAAAGAACACGGGAACATATGGTTCAGGTCAAAACAGGGAATTGTATTGTACATCATTTTTGTTACTTATGTGTACCATGAAACATATGAAAAGCTTTACTGAGGCCTTTGATGTTGTAATCCTAACAAACGCCTCATGACGCTCTTTGAAACTTTTGAGGAATGGTTATGCTCGATTGTACCTCAAACGTTTTGAATAAAGACACCAAAAGCTGGAGCCGCAGGAATATTGCTCGTCCTAAAGGGAACGTTAACTATTGTAATGTTAAAGTCATCCCTCTTATCATAGGGGCGGGTCTGGTAGCCTAGTGGTTAAAGCGTTCGCTCGTCACGCCGAAGACCAGGGTTCGATTCCCGACATGGGTACAATGTGTGAAGCCCATTTCTGGTGTTCCCCGCCGTGATATTTGCTGGAATATGCTAAAGGCGGCGTAAAACCACACTCACTCATCTCTTGTCATTACGTCTTCTGGATATTTTCTGTCACTCTGAATCTTTATGTACAGATCTAAATATGAAACTGATGATGCGGTTTCACTGGTCGGTTTTATTTCCAGATCGGGTGGGTACATCAGTGGTAGGGAATTGGCTATTTGACCATTATTGAATGCTATCGGATTATCAGCAGGGAAGACAGTCCAATTGGTACCGGGGGGATGCCACAAAACACCTATCACACAAGTATAAGTATTCCTGAAACAACCATCACGCTGACATACGGTCGTGTTGAAACAATCATCACACTGACATGCAATCTTGTTGAAATATTCAGCATACTGACATGCAATCATGTTGAAACTTTCAGCATCCTGACATGCAATCTTGTTGAAATATTCAGCATACTGACATGCAATCGTGTTGAAACTTTCAGCATACTGACATGCAATCGATTTGAAACCTTCAGCATACTGACGTGAAATAGTGTTGAAATATTCAGCATACTGACATGCAATCGTGTTGAAATATTCAGCATCCTGACATGCAATCTTGTTGAAATATTCAGCATATTGACATGCAATCGTGTTGAAATATTCAGCATACTGACATGCAATCGTGTTGAAACCTTCAGCATCCTGACATGCAATCGTGTTGAAACCTTCAGCATACTGACATGAAATCGTGTTCAAACTTTCAGCATACTGACATGCAATCTAGTTGAAACCTTCAGCATCCTGACATGCAATCGTGTTAAAACCTTTAGCATACTGACATGCAATCGTGTTCAAACTTTCAGCATACTGACATGCAATCGTGTTAAAACCTTCAGCATCCTGACATGCAATCGTGTTGAAATATTCAGCATACTGACATGCAATCGTGTTGCAATATTCAGCATCCTGACATGCAATCGTGTTGAAATATTCAGCATCCTGACATGCAATCGTGTTGAAATATTCAGCATACTGACATGCAATCGTGTTGAAACCTTCAGCATCCTGACATGCAATCGTGTTGAAACCTTCAGCATCCTGACATGCAATCGTGTTGAAACCTTCAGTACCCTGACATGCAATCGTGTTGAAACCTTCAGCATACTGACATGCAATCTAGTTGAAACCTTCAGCATCCTGACATGCAATCGTGTTGAAACATTCAGCATAATGACATGCAATCGTGTTCAAATATTCAGCATCCTGACATGCAATCGTGTTGAAACCTTCAGCATAATGACATGCAATCGTGTTCAAATATTCAGCATACTGACATGCAATCGTGTTCAAACCTTCAGCATACTGACATGCAATCGTGTTGAAATATTCAGCATCCTGACATGCAATCTAGTTGAAACCTTCAGCATCCTGACATGCAATCGTGTTGAAACATTCAGCATAATGACATGCAATCGTGTTCAAATATTCAGCATCCTGACATGCAATCGTGTTGAAACCTTCAGCATAATGACATGCAATCGTGTTCAAATATTCAGCATACTGACATGCAATCGTGTTCAAACCTTCAGCATCCTGACATGCAATCGTGTTCAAATATTCAGCATACTGACATGCAATTGTGTTCAAACCTTCAGCATACTGACATGCAATCGTGTTGAAATATTCAGCATCCTGACATGCAATCGTGTTGAAATATTCAGCATACTGACATGCAATCTTGTTCAAATATCCAGCATACTGACATGCAATCGTGTTGACATATTCAGCATACTGACATGCAATCGTGTTGAAATATTCAGCATACTGAAATGCAATCGTATTGAAACATTTAACATACTGACATGAAATAGTGTTGAAATACTCAGCATACTGACATGCAATCGCGTTGAATCCTCAAGCATACTGATATCAAACCATCTTGAAGCCTTCGTCCCACTAACCTGCAACCTTCTTTAGACATTCAATATGTTGACATGCAACCACCTTGAATCATTCGTCCCAATAACCTGCAACCTTCTTTAGACATTCAATATGTTGACATGCAACCACCTTGAATCATTCGTCCCACTAACCTGCAACCTTCTTTAGACATTCAATATGTTGACATGCAACCACCTTGAATCATTCGTCCCACTAACCTGCAACCTTCTTTAGACATTCAATATGTTGACATGCAACCACCTTGAATCATTCGTCCCACTAACCTGCAACCTTCTTTGGACATTCAATATGTTGACATGCAACCACCTTGAATCATTCGTCCCACTAACCTGCAACCTTCTTTAGACATTTAATATGTTGACATGCAACCACCTTGAATCATTCGTCCCACTAACCTGCAACCTTCTTTAGACATTCAATATGTTGACATGCAACCACCTTGAATCATTCGTCCCAATAACCTGCAACCTTCTTTAGACATTCAATATGTTGACATGCAACCACCTTGAATCATTCGTCCCACTAACCTGCAACCTTCTTTAGACATTCAATATGTTGACATGCAACCACCTTGAATCATTCGTCCCACTAACCTGCAACCTTCTTTAGACATTCAATATGTTGACATGCAACCACCTTGAATCATTCGCCCCACTAACCTGCAACCTTCTTTAGACATTCAATATGTTGACATGCAACCACCTTGAATCATTCGTCCCACTTACCTGCAACCTTCTTTAGACATTCAATATGTTGACATGCAACCACCTTGAATCATTCGTCCCACTAACCTGCAACCTTCTGGAAGCATTCATTGCACTGATAAGCAATCATCTTGAAACATTCAGCATACTGACATGTACTCATCTTGAAACACACAATACTTCATGAAAGCACATTGTAGCATTAGTTAACCTGACTTGCATCCATCTTGAAACACTGAGTTTATTTTCATGTAACTATCTTGAAGCATACTGACATATATGCAATCTTGAAGCATTCGTCACACTGACATGCAACATGCATCTTGAAGCCTTACTGACGAGCAACCATCTTGAAGCATTCGTCATATCGACACATAACCGTCTTAAACAGCCATTACCTTGGCTTACAGCGTTTTTGAACAAAAGAGTGTTTCAATATTGTTACAAGTCAATACCATGACTATTTAAAACAACGATGTATACCAGGTTCATGGATGTTTGAAGATGGTTGCAGGTCAGTGTGACGAATGCCTCAAGATGTTTGCATGTCAGTACGCTGAATGCCTAAAGATAGTTTCATCTCAAAATGTACAACCAGCATGTCATACACCTTACACACATACATCCAGCATGTCATTCTCCTCACACATATACATCCAGCAAGTGATACAACTTACACACATACATCCAGCAAGTGATACACCTTACACACATACATCCAGCAAATGATACTCCTCACACACATACATCCAGCAAATGATACACCTTACACACATACATCCAGCAAGTGATACTCCTCACACACATACATCCAGGAAAGTGATACACCTCACACACATACATCTAGCAAGTGATACTCCTCACACACATACATCCAGCATGTCATTCTCCTCACACATATACATCCAGCAAGTGATACAACTTACACACATACATCCAGCAAGTGATACACCTTACATACATTCACCCAGCAAGTGATACTCCTCACACACATACATCCAGCATGTCATTCTCCTCACACATATACATCCAGCAAGTGATACAACTTACACACATACATCCAGTAAGTGATACACCTTACACACATACATCCAGCAAATGATACTCCTCACACACATACATCCAGCATGTCATTCTCCCCACACATA